TCATGTGCTTAGGACACAACTGGGAAGATCTGTGAGGGGATGTCACTTGGTTGAGTAGGAGCACAGTGAAATGACAGTGAGGGGCCCCGGTGCACACACTGACACATGTACATGCATGAGCATAAGCTCCATGTCAGGAGTGTTCAGAGCTCTCCTGGAGGTTGAGGGGGAGGTGGTGGGCTTCAGGGCTGTCTCCTCTGTGGTGTGAGACTGGAGTGGCCCACTTTAAGCCTTGAGGCGACAGGTGGGGCACCTCAGACGGTGGTCTCTCTCTGGAGTGTGGGCCTTTGGTGCTCTCCGTGTGAGTTATAGGCCCCATTACGGGCCTCCCCATCCTCTTCCTCAGAGCTGAGCAGTCTCCATACTTCCCTATAGATCAGAGGGGTCCCCCATGACAACATGTGTTCTCCACCTCTGACAGCCCTGAGCTCCCTTCACCAGGCAGGGGCTGCGGAGCTGCAAGGAGGTTGTGTGTGCTGCTCCTTGGTCCTTAACTTCTCTACTGCTTCCACCAGCAAGCAGGCAACACCCAAAACACTGGCTCTGCACTCATGGTGGGCCCACCTAAGCAAACAGTCTCAGCCAAAATGAGCCACAGGCAAGACCCTTGACACGGAGCTGAGTGGGGGTAGGACAGTGGCCTGGGCAGTCCTGGATCCTGGCCATGCTGCTGGCAGGAGCCTGGTCCATACCTGAGCATGCAAGTGTACGAGTGAATGTTCTGTGTGTGTGCATGTGTGTGTGTGTGTGCAGGTGTGAGAGTGTGAATTGTATGAATACCCATGAATATATGTACATGTGGAAGTGAGCACGAGTGTGTGCATGTGGGAATAAGCGTGTGTGTGCACACATGTGCAAGGAGGCTCATCTAATAGTCCCCTTTGCTGGTCAGTTCCTGGTGGCCCTCAAGTCTTGGGGCTGAGCCGTGGCACCATAGCAGAACTGCTGGTGTTTTCAAGAAGGCTGAATGTGTGCTGTTCTTGAAGTGCCTGAGATGGGGGAGGCCCCAGCTGGTGGGCAGGATGGCGGGGTCAGGAGTGTGAGGGAGGTGAAGAGTAGGGGGTGGTGGGTGCCCTGCTGGATAGGTGTGGGTGCTTGGTGCTGGAGGTGCTACCTTCCTGAGTGTGGCCCCTGAAGATAGGCGTTTGCTGTCCCTCCTTTGCCAGCTGCAGTGGGTTCTTCAAGTCGACTCTGCCCAGGAAGTGTGTGTTCAGCGTGCGAATGCAGGAGCCTGGCTGGTGGGGGGCCCAGGAGTGACTGTGTGATCTCCCGGGCTTGGGATGGAGATAGGCCATCTCCACCCTGCCAGAGAATCAGTGTATCCCAACCAATGGAACTTAGAATCCCCTCTCCTGATGTGTGCTGGGGAAAGGGGTCTTTGGAATTTTTGTCCTGAGATTTTCCAGAGACTTGTTTGGGCATATAATCACATTAGTGGTGGTGAATTTTCAAGCAAAGAGCTGGTTCTCTGGGCATTTCCAAGACATTTCTGAGCATCGGGGGGATTAATTTTGTAGACAAGGCCAGGCTGAGACAGATGTTTGCACATGGGGCATATACCCTCCCTCTCCCCAGGAAAGGGGACGTGGTGTTCAGCTGCTGGAAACATGAGTTCTGATCCCAAACAACACAGTGCTGCCCTTTGGACAGCAATCGATGAATGCCACCATGGCATTCTGTGCTGAGATAGTTGGGAACATGTCTGCAGGGCTGTTTCATCACAGCTGCTCTTGCTGCTGCTGACCTGGCCCCAGGGGAAGGGTCTGTGTCTCTGGCCACACAGCCTTGGGAATGCAGGGCTACAGGGAACTCAGGAGGAGGGGGCAACTGACTTGCAGCCACTCAAGGGATGTGAAATGTGGTGGCAGAAGCTGGGCATGAGTGTGTGTGTGATTGTGTTGATCGAGTGTGGAGATGTGCATGGGTGTGTAGGAGTATGCATGTGTGTGCATATGAGCACATGTACGAATGCATGAGTGAACATACATGAGTGAGAACGCATGTGTGCACAGCCTAAATTCCATTCAGGCCTCACCCCTATGGGCCCTGTGATCCTGACTAGGCCCTCACATCTCTATGCTTCGGTTTCTTCATTCATCAAATGGGCTGATGGGATGCACTTGTCACCAGCACTGCGCCTGGTTGGCTGTGGAGACGCAGGGCAGCTCATGCTTCACACAACCTGTTGCATTCCCCACCTTAAGGGATGCCTGGGATAGGAGAGAGCTCATTTCTGTCTACCCAAATTATCTTGTTGATTGGGAAACTGAGGCTGAGAAGGAGGCCACAGACTCTCAGCCCCATGGCAGATGTGTAGCAGCAGTGCTGGAGCAGATACTCACCCAAGTCCCAGCAAAGGACATGGCCCAGAGCTGGCCGGTGAAGCTAGAGCTTCGGACTGAGGGATGGAGGCTGCCATCCTCCCATGATGGCACCCAGTGTGGCCAGCCCAGGCAGTGGCTTCTCCCTGGAATCACTTGTCCTCCAGGGAACCTGGCCACTTCCTGCTTGCTGGTATGAGCCCCTCCCTCCCTGTTCCCATTGGAGTGTTCTGGCCTCTCATCCCAGCTCTCCATCTGAGTCCCACATCCCTGCCTCGCCTGCTGTCCCCTTGCTGCAGTACCTGACCTGTTCCTACACCCTCGCCAAGTGACTCCCCCTGCCCAGGCCCTGCCTGTCACTCACACTGTGCTATTCCTCCAGGCTCAACAGAGGCTCTCCTGGTCTCAGTTGGCCTCACGGTTCTCAAGTTTATTGTTTAAAACCCAAACTGGACAACTGTGTCCGTTTCCCATGGGCCTGTGAGCTATCCTGGGTAGATGGACTTCCAGAGTCCTGAGCACATGGAGAGTATGCAACAGTCTTGCACAAAGCTCCCGGAACCCACAGATACACAGCATGGGGCCTGCAGGAAGCAGTGGTCTCCCCATGTGTGGACTATGGGTGCAGCCTCCTGCCCTGCCTGGGGACTTAGCATGGGCTCTGGGAAGGCTATGCTTCACAAAGGAGTCTAACATACAGCTTTGTCCTTTTTAGTAAAAACTGAGTTTTGTTTGCCATTGTTATTCCTGCAACATGTTCATTTTCCAGAAGGACTTCTTGCTTCCTGACCACCGATGTGGCATCACTTGATTATTGATGATTCACGGGACAGGGAGAAGGAGGAGGCATGTAACAGGAACAGTGAGGCCCTCATACCCGGTAGGCTGCCTGCAACGCATAGCTGCTGTCCTGGCTTTATACAGTTTACATGGGTTCTCAGGGGCTTACACAGGTTCACCTGGGATGACATGGGCTCACACAGGTTCCAATAGCTCACACAAGGTCACACAGGCTGACACACCATAGGCTGACTTCTGCCCCAGGAGGTGGGCTAGCATGGGCCAGCACTTGGGGAAGGGCTGTAGGCTGTCCACAGCCCATGAGGCCCCCAAGAATAGCTCAGCACTCAACCCTGAAGGGTTGTTCCCCCCCTTGGGACCTCAGTTCCCTCATCTGGAGGGCGACTAGCTGCATCCTTGTCAGCCTGCCCTTGGCCTCTCCAGTGCTTCTGGGATTTGTGGATCCCATAATGATAGCCACAGCCTGATCCCCAAGCCTGGCTTTCCCAAGGGTCCCAGTGTCACAGTGCCAGGCATGCTCCTCCCCCTTTACTGCCCAGACTCAGGCCAGAAGATGGGCACTGGCCAGGGCCCCTCCCAGGGTAGGAATTCATAGAGCCGTCACCAAAAGGGGATCTGAGTGGGTAAGCCGGGCCTTGCTGTAAAGTGGGTGGAGCAGGGTGGGGAGTGTGGTGGCTGTAATGAAAGTCACGCATGCTCAGTAGGTCTCCAAGCAACGGCCACTAGGTGGCAAACCTCTCTGAGAACTTCAGGGCCACATGGCAGCACTTCAGTTTCCTGGAGTGAAGACAGTGTTGTCTGAGATTTTGAGGGGAAGTAGTCTTAACACGGGGAGAACGCCAGTGCAGCCTGACCCAGCCAGCCCACATGCCCCAGGGATAGTTCCTTCCTGGAACACTGCCTGGAAGGGGCACCTGGTCATGCATTGTAACAATGGAGCTGGGACCAGTCAGGGCCACTGGGCTGACACCCAGGCTATGGGCAGGGCTTGGAATGATTAGGACCTCCCTACATGCAGGCTCCGTGGGAGGAGGCAGGAGCCTGCTACCTCTGCCGCCAAGAATCCCCTCTCCCTACTCCCTGTCTCCCTCCTGCCGCCTTTATGTTCATTCCCAGCTGTGGCTGCGTCTTGTGCTTTTCAAGAAGCACCCGGGAGCTTTAGAAATGTCTGCTGGACAGGAAGTGCTGACACACGCAAGTCAGCCCCCAGGGAGGACATTTCCCACCATACAGGAGACACGGATGACGTGTGGGCAGGTCTTGGAAAAGAAAAGGAAACAAGCCAAGTGTCCAGCAGGGCCCAGAGCTGGCCTTGGTGCAGTGGGGCCAGGATGGGTGGGAGTGTGGGTGGAGGGTCAGAAGGAATGGTCCAAGTCGTGCACCCCACCCCCCAATGTTCAGTATCTCGAGGCAGCAGTTGCAACACCGAGAATTGGAACTACAGCGAGTTGGGCATTTTTCAAGTTCCAACTTTACCACAAAACAGTGGCATGAGGCCAGGCGTTTCCTGGTGTCCTCCTCAGAGGGAGAGTGGGGGCTGGAGGTCCTGGCCCAGAGCACCACACAGAGGCTCAGTAGCCCTCCCACCAAAGTGGAGCATGTGGGGAATTCCTCAGACACACTTTCTTTACAATGTCCCTCTGTCCCTGTGCAGCCCCTGGTGGTACTGTGGGGCATGGGAGGGGGAATCCCAGATCTCCTGGTGCTGGGAGCCTTGATCTCGAGGTTTGTGCTGCCGTGTTTCCTTCTGAAAGAAGTTGGAAGAAGGAGCTACCATGCCAGGCAGGGAGATGTGAACAACAGGGGCGGGGGAGGGCGGGAGCCGTGGCCCCACCTCCCCAGAGCTGCCCGCCCACTCCTGCAGCGGCACACAGCCCCATGGCTCCCAACCCCAGCGGCTGCTGCCTGCTGTTGCTCCTCACCTGGTGTTTGGCGGGGGCCCACGCTGACCTGCTGAACCTGGGCTGGCTGTGGTCCAATAACGTCAACCCTGCTACGACCCTCGTCCCTGAGCCCCGAGGTCATTCGCCTGGGCAGCCCACGTCAGACGCTACCTTGTATGTGGACCCCCGAGATGGCTCCACGGAGCAAGCCACAGCTCCTGCCAGTCCCAAGCCACCCTGGGAGGTGCTGGAGGGCGGCCAGGATGCTCCCACATCTGCCACGAGCACAGACACGCAGGAGGAGAACATCGCTGGTGTCGGAGCCAGAATCCTGAATGTGGCCCAGGGCATCCGGAGCTTCGTCCAGCTGTGGGATGACGCCACCCCCACCGGGAGCACTGCTGGAATGGAGACACCAGCCCTCGAGGCCCCCGTGGACACCCTTGCCCTCCCTGGGCCCTCCAGCACCCCTCAGGAGAACGGGGCCACACTCTGGCCAAACAGTGGTGCTCCCAGCTCTGTGGGTGCTGGTGTGACTGAAGCTGGCACCCTGCCTGTACCCACTCAGGTGGCCCCCTCTCCAGACAGGTCCCAGGATCCACTCCAGGGGCCTCCAGGACCAGCACTGTCCCCAGGTAGAGCGTCTCTCTCCTCCGTGCCGGTCGGGACCCCTCCCCAAGGAAGCCAGCAGTCCCCAGGGCAGCCCCAGGATCAGGACAGCAAGGGACTCCCGCCTGGGGCAGCCAGCCCCATCCTTCAGCACCAACTCTCTGATGTCCGCCTGCACTCTTCGCCTCTGCACCCCCTGGTGATGGGTTCTCTGGGCACACATGCTGGCCCCTCTGCTTGGTCCTCTGCACCCCAGGGCAGACTGTCTCAGATAGCACTCACGGCTTTGATTGGGGCCGGGGGTGCTTGGGCTTCTCACTCTGCTGACTCCGTAGGGCCAAGTCTTGCCAATGACTCTGCCCTGTTTGGGGCTGGCCTCTTGCCGCCTGCTGGCCGCTGCCTGCCTCTGCCACCCTCCCTGTTGGTCTGTGGCCGCCTGGGTATTGGGAGCGCCTGGTTGCCCAACCACCTCCACCACGGGAGCAGTGAGGAAGTGCGAGTGGCTGCACGGGTGTGGGAGGCCTTGCTGCAGACGCACTGCCACCCCTTCCTCACCTGGTTTTTCTGCCTGCTACTGGCTCCCCCATGTGGCCGTGCCCCGCTGCCCGCCCCACCACCCTGCCGCCAGTTCTGTGAGGCCCTGGAGGATGCGTGCTGGAGCCACCTGGAAGGGGGCCGGCTGCCCGTCGCCTGCACCTTGCTGCCAACCCAGGAGGATGGGCACTGTGTGTTCATTGGGCCGGCTGCAGGTAACCAGCCTGGCTCATCCTCTCCGTCCTGTCCCTGCCACCTTGCCAGATGAGCCTGGGCAGCTGTGAGCCTAGCTTGGGTCCCCGCTCCATGCTGGGCCCTGTAGCAGCAACGTTTTCATCCTGTGAAGGGATATCCCTCTGGAGGCAGGAGCTGGGAGGCAGTGGCCCCTGCAGGGTAGACCAAGGGCTGGAGAGAGGGGAGGCTGATCAGGTCACAAACTCTTACTGCAGCTGATGCATCTTAGTGCAATTTGTTTTCACCATGGCTCTGAGATACCCCGCTATGCCCTTCGTCATGGTGGGGACACTGAAGCATGGAGTGGTGATGTGATTTGCCCAAGGGAGCTGGACTTCCCACAAAACTCCAGCTGCACTGTCCTTGTCCTGGGTCTTTGAGCTGTACTGTATAACACTCTTCCTGGGGATCTCACTTAGGTCAAGGGGCTGCTGGTGGGCTGTGCAGGCAAAAAGGATTGCTTTGTTGAGGATTGAGAGGTCTCCACTGGGGGAGGGGCCAGGGAGGTCTGTGGGGCTCATCCCAGCCTGAGCACATAACCTCCCTACTGGGACAGTAAGGACTGGTCCTGGGCCTAGGGTTAGTGCTCCCATCCCCAGGTGGCCTGTTACCATCACTGACTGGCAGAGGGAGGGAAGGAAGGAGAGGGGGAAAGGGTGGGATTATTTTTTAACGCTTCCAGGGCTGGACTGCCTAGGGAGGCCCAGCAACTCCTTCCTCTGGTTGGGGTGGGAGTGAGCCTCTGCACCCTGAGCTGGGCCTGTCCTGTCTGCCCTCCCACCTCTGTTTGCTTGGTACTCTCTGCCTGGAGGTCCACCTGTGAGGTCCCATTCCCACTGGGCGAGGTGCTCTATCTTCTCCCGCCCTCCTCCCCATGTACCAAGGGGAAACGGCCTTGGCCCTTGGTCTTCAGGGTTTAGAGCTGGGCCGGCAGGGGTGGGGGGGAAAGCTCTGTCAGGCTCTGAGATGAGGGTGTTGGCAGTGGAAATTTTGTGTCAACACCTCCATGCTGGGCTCCATGGGCGACACCCTTGGGCAATTCCCAGCAAGCTTCAGGCCTTTCCCCCTTTGGTTCAGCAGACCCTATGCCTGGCCTGGGTTGTAGCTGGAGGGCCATGGGCAGGGCAGGGACAAGTGCCCATAAGAAGTGGTGCCCAGCCCCAAGAAAAAAGTCTATGAGGGCTGGAGTGGAGGGGCAGGGAGGGCTGCACAGAGTAGGTGGCTGTGGTTGAGCCCCAAGTAAGATCAGAGTGGCCAGGAGGGTGTCTGGGCAGAGAGCAGTGTGACAGAGTTCGCTCTGGGAAGGACTTGATGTGTGTAGAAGTAGGGGGACTTGTGACTGTGCCCCAAAAACTCATGCCCAGAGCTCTCCTGTGGGTGAGGCAGGCAAAGACTGAGGCTGTTGGCTTCAGTGGGCTTAGATTCATTCCAGGAGCTGGAGCCCCATGAGCACCCGCATACCCGGGCTCCACTCACACTTGGTCCTGTAATGCCTAGTTGCTACACCAGCACAGGCTGCCTCCAGCCAGCAATGCCTGGGCAGGGCTGCAAGGTGGGGGGGATTTCTCTACTGCAGCTGGCCTGGTCAGTCCCATGACCCAGAGGGTGCTTTTCACTGAACATCTGGTCATGTTGGCAGGGTCCCCGGATGGGGAAAGCTGAGTGCCTGTATGGTGGAAGTTCTGTCCCTGGGTGGGGGAGGCCAGGTTTCTGGGTGGGGGAAACCAGGTTCCTGAGTAGGGAAGCTCATGTCCTCATGGGAGGGAAGCCACATCCTGAACAGGGTCCCAGGAGATTCTTCTATCAGCACAAGCCAAATGTGAGTGTTCAACCTTATCAGGCGGGACCCCTCCCCAGGTGTGCCTGACCAAGAGGGTCCCTCCTCCTTTGGCCTCTCAGCTCCCTCTGCCAACCATGGGCTCCCTCCCTCTGGGGCAGACCCCCCTCCTGCTGGGCCCCTGTATTGGGCTGGACACTCCCACCCTGTGTGTGGGAAGCAGGAGGAGGAGGAAGGCCCTGTTGGGACATCAAGGGCCAAGTAGGGGAAAGGGGAATGCAAACTCTGCCCCATGTTGATGTCTGACCCCTCAGAAAGAGCTGAGAGGGGGTCTTGGGGCTCAGAGAGGGTGCACCCTGCAGTGAGGGGTGGCCAGTGGGCTCTGCTGCTTCCTTGCCAGCTTCTGTTCAGAGCCTTGGCAGGTACTCCTTACCTGTGTGCCTGTAGATGGGCCCTGCCCCACTCCCCTCGCTTGGACCAGTAGTATGTAGCCACATCACCTGGTCCTGCACAGCACCCTGAGGCTGCTGTAGTCACTAGTGAAGTCCACAGGCTTGCAGCCCCTCCTCCATGTCTGCTTCCTCTGCCCCCTCAAGGACAGTGTGAGGTAGGGGGCTGTGAGCACACTCAGGGTGTGGGAGGTGGTCAGGAGGGAGTGTCCTGTGGTCAGCATGCAGGTGAGAACCTCATGGGGGTCCTTGCTGTGTGATGGGCTTGTTCCTCAGGCCCACAAGTAGAAGGGGTGAGACCCCCAGACAGGGGAGGGCAGGGATGGGCCTGCATTTGCTTCTGCCACCTAGTGTCCCACAGGGTACACCAGCAACCAGGGGGCTGTCCTTCCTGCAGCTGTCAAGAGTGAGTGGGACTGGGGCTCAGGCCGTTGCCTCCAGGAAACTCCCCTGGGCTGTCCCAGGGGGGCTGTGTGAGCAACATGTAAAGATCCGGTCAGAGGGGCTGCTTGAGTCACCACACAATGACAGTGATAGGCGGCTTGGGCACTGTAGGTTTTGCTCTCAACACCCTTCTGCATTCTTGCAACCCCTTCCTATTCCCTGGGGAGGGCAGTGAAGGCAGATGGTGTTTCCTGAGAGAACCCACCAGCAGGCATCCTCTGACCCAGAAGGCAGGTGTTATTCGTGCTTAAGGTGGGAAGCTGGGGTCTGGGGAGGATACACATGCCTGCTGCAAGTGTGGGTGGCAGGATGGAGACACGAGAGGACTGGCAGCCTGACTCCAGGACTGCCCCTAAGCGTCACAGCAGATGTGGGACACGCACAGCACCCAGCAGTGGGAACACCAGGTGACCAGCGGGCATCTAGGCCATCTGATAAGGGGCAGAGACCAGAGACGGGATGGATGGTTCCTGTGCACAGAGTAGGGTGCATCAGGACATAGATGCCATGGGGATGCTTGGGAAGCAGGTCCACTGCATGGGCCTCATCTCAAATACACAAGTCCAGCTATCTCAGCAAGTGGTACTCAAGACCTCTGACCAGGGGCTTCCGTGATCCTGTGTTGCCCTGTGAAGTGGGCTGTGCATGGCACTTCGCTGGGCATTCGCAGGTCAGTGTGAGGTCATGGTGGCCATAGGAGTGCACTTGGGGGCGCCAGCACCATGGTGGTTCCAGAGGTGCTGTTCAGCACTGCTGTAGCAGTCCCCTCCCTCGTGGGCCAGCCATTAACTCAGAGGTGTTCTTGCTGCAGTACTTCAATCAAATGCAGGACTTTAGAAGATGTTACTGTTCTTTAAAATGCTTCACTTAACTCAAGTTTCTATTTAACTTTGATTTAACTTTTTGATTTAAGAAGACAAGACCACTTCCATGGAAAAATACTCATGCTTATCTCACCTCTTGGAAACCGATAAATATTTTTTGGATGACGCTGGCTGAGCTTCCCTCAGACTTTCCACGTCTCCCAGATGCACCAGGAGTGACGCAGTGTTTAGCTTCTGCCGATGTGTGTAGGGCCTGAGGCAGTGGGCAAGGCTGTCTGTGAGTGCAGGCGTCTTATGTGATTCTGTAGGAACCAGATGTAGACAGGATGGAGGTGCATAGCCCTCCCAGCGGGGCTACCTGCAGGCTCTCCATACTCGTACACATTCTGAAATGATTACCATGATCAAGCTAATTAACATATCCATCACATCAGCCAGTAACCTTTTCTGTGTATGTATGTGTGTATGTGGTGAGGACACACAAAATCCACTCTTGGCAAATTTCAAGGGCCACACACAATGCAGCATTATAACCCAGTCACCATGCAGTACTTTAAATCTCCAGAACATATTCATTCTGCATACCTGAAACTTTGTACCCTTTGACCACTGTCTCCACATTTCCTTCTCTCTCTTGCCCCCAGTAACCACTATTCTACTCTCTACTTCTATGAGTTTGACTTTTTTAGATTCCATGTATAAAAGAGATCATGTACTGTTTGTCTTCTTGCCTTATTTCACTGAGCATTTTGTCCTCCAGGTTCACTCACAAAAAGTGCAGATACAAGCCATTGTTCAAATAATATTAACTTTTATAAATGGCTGTGTTTTACCTTTATTGAGATTGAGATCTCTGTCTCTTCATGTGACTTCCTGTTATTGCCTAGTGTCCTTTTATTTCACCTGCTGGACCATCTTGTCCATTTCCTATAAGGTAGGTCTAGTGGTAATGAACTCCTTCAGTGTTTGTTTATCTGGGAAATGCCAAATTTCTCCCTTACTTTTGAAGGACAGTTTTGCTGAATATTGGAGTCTTGGCTAACAGTTGTTTTCCTTGAGCATTTTGAATATATTGGTTCACTGCCTTCTGACCTCCAAATTTTCTGATGAGAAAACTGCAGATGAACTTAGGGAGGATCGCTTGTAGGTGATGAGTTGCTTTGATCTTGCTACTTACAAGATTCTCTGTCTTTGTCTTTTGAAAGTTTAATCATAATATATCTTAGTGTGGGTCTCTTTGAGTTCATCTTATTTGGAGTCTCTTGAGCTTCTTGAACGCTTATATTCACATCTTCCACCACACTTGGGAAGTTTTCAATCATCATTTATTCAGATATTCCTTGACCATCTTTCTTCTTCTCTTCTCTTTTTGGGACTTCCCAATGTGTTTGTTGGTCTGCTTGATGGTATCCCACATGACCCTTGGTTCTCTTCACTTTTTTTCCATTTTTTTTCTTTGATAACTTCCTCTGTCCTATCTTCAAGTT